ATTGTATGACTACTATGGCCACTAGGTGTAGGGATATGATCTATTGTATGACTACTATGGCCACTAGGTGTAGGGATATGATCTATTGTATGACTACTATGGCCACTAGGTGTAGGGATATGATCTATTGTATGACTACTATGGCCACTAGGTGTAGGGATATGATCTATTGTATGACTACTATGGCCACTAGGTGTAGGGATACGCTCTATTGTATGACTACTATGGCCACTAGGTGTAGGGATACGCTCTATTGTATGACTACTATGGCCACTAGGTGTAGGGATATGATCTATTGTATGACTACTATGGCCACTAGGTGTAGGGATACGCTCTATTGTATGACTACTATGGCCACTAGGTGTAGTGATGTGATCTATTGTATGACTACTATGGCCACTAGGTGTAGGGATATGATCTATTGTATGACTACTATGGCTCCTAGGTGTAGGGATATGATCTATTGTATGACTACTATGGCTCTTAGGTGTAGGGATACGCTCTATTGTATGACTACTATGGCAACTTGGTGTAGGGATATACTCTATTGTATGACTAATGTGAGCCTTTTGTGTAGCGATATGTTCTATTGTATGACTAAAATGGGGATTATATGTAGAGATATGTTCTAGTGTATGACTACGTATGATGCTATGCAATAAATCACTCTAAAGGTTTCTAAATTTTTACACTCAAATAAATTGCTTGAAATTTTTCCAAATAATTTTCTATTCAAAATATGCTGTCAGCAATGTTCCCTTTAAGCTGCGCGGCTGCGCGGCAGCGCAGCAATCTCACAGATGCCGCGCAGCAGTTTTTAGTACCGCGCAGTTAATTTACACTTAAGTGTGTTTTTGTGTCTTTAATCTGAAAATTTTGCGCACAAAAAAAATTGATGCTGTAAAAATTTGCACACAACTTTATTATTTTGCACATGAACCAACAAACCATAGAGGGACATTGGCTGTCAGTCCCAATAGGCATTGAAACTGCAGAAAACGGTTTTCTTAGCTAAAATTAATGCCTGATTCTTTCCCTTATGGCTCTTTTGTTTACAAGGTTTGCCTATCCCTGGCCATCTGACACCGGAAAGTCTCCCATCTTTGCCTATCCCTGACCTATGCCACCTGACACAGGAAAGTCTCCCATCTTTGCCTATCCCTGGCCTATGCCACCTGACACAGGAAAGTCTCCCATCTTTGCCTATCCCTGGCCTATACCACCTGACACAGGAAAATCTCCCATCTTTGCCTGTCCTTGGTCTATGCCTGCCATCTGACACGGGAAAGTCTCCCATCTTTGCCTATCCCTGGCCTATGCCATCTGACACAGCAAAATCTCCGATCTTTGCCTATCCCTGGCCTATGCCACCTGACACATGAAAGTGTCATATAAACATTGATTCATTTGTGGTCAAATTCAATAATTGTATTTTCAGAATTCTGAATATCTTGTGTTTGTTACAGTTACAAATTTTATATAAAAGTGATGTTCATATCCCACATACGACAGTTTCATGTTTTATATAAAAGTGATGGTAATCTCAAACCTACGATAGCTTACTGTTTTATATAAAATCCATAGCCACGTTGTCATTTCATCTTCAAATGGCTTTCATAGCCACGTTGTCATTTCATCTTCAAATGGCTTTCATAGCCACGTTGTCATTGGTTTCACGTTTATTTTGCAGGTTCGGCTCCAAAAGACGAGGTAAGAGAACAGGTGTCATCTTTAACAATGACATGGATGACTTCAGCTCACCACATGTCATCAATGAATGGGGACTTTCTCCGTCTAAAGCAAACGCCATCGTCCCCAGGAAACGTCCCCTCTCTTCCATGTGTCCTTGCATTTTTGTAGACCATCATGGGAAAGTTGTTCTAATTTTAGGAGCGGCTGGAGGGTCAAAGATTACAACTGCAACAGCATGGGTCAGTTTATACTTTACAGCATGGGTCAAGTTATACTTTACAGCATGGGTCAGTTTATACTTTAAAGCATGGGTCAGTTTATACTTGACAGCATAGGGCAGTTTATACTTTACAGCATGGGTCAGTTTATACTTTAAAGTGTGGGTCAGTTTATACTTTACAGCATGGGTCAGTTTATACTTGACAGCATGGGTCAGTTTATACTTGACAGCATGGGTCAGTTTATACTTGACAGCATGGGTCAGTTTATACTTGACAGCATGGGTCAGTTTATACTTTACAACATGGGTCAGTTTATTCTTTGCAGCATGGGTCAGTTTATACTTTACAGCCTGGGTCAGTTTATACTTTACAGCATGAGTCATTTTATTCTTTGCAGCATGTGTCAGTTTATACTTTACAGCATGGGTCAGTTCATACTTGACAGCATGGGTCAGTGTATACTTTACAGCATGGGTCAGTTTACACTTTACAGCATGGGTCAGTTTATACTTGACAGCATGGGTCAGTTTATACTTTACAGCATGGTTCAGTTTACACTTTAAAGTGTGGGTCAGTTTATACTTTACAGCATGGGTCAGTTTATACTTTACAGCATGGGTCAGTTTATACTTGACAGCATGGTCAGTTTATACTTGACAGCATGGGTCAGTTTATACTTTACAGCATGGGTCGGTTTATACTTTACAGCATGGGTCAGTTTATACTTTACAGCATCGGTCAGTTTATACTTTACAGCATGGGTCAGATTATAATTTACAGCATGGGTCAGTTAATGCTTTACAGCTTTGGTCAGTTTATAATTTACAGCTTTGGTCAGTTTATACCTTACTGCATGGGTCAGTTTATTCCTTACAGCATGGGTCAGTGTATACTTTACAGCATGGGTCAGTTTATACTTTACAGCATGGATTAGTTTATACTTTACAGCATGGGTCAGTTAATGCTTTACAGCTTTGGTCAGTTATAATTTAAAGCTTTGGTCAGTTTATACCTTACTGCATGGGTCAGTTTATACCTTACAGCATGGGTCAGTTTATACTTTACAGATTTGCTCAGTTTATACTTTACAGCTTGGGACAGTTTTTATTCTTTACAGCATTGGTCAAATTACAATTTTACACGTATCTTCTCTAAACACATAAAAAAAAAAAATTCGACTCTAGTTTTGTAAAATAAAATGATGAATGAGGAAAGATAACTGTTATAAGAATGCTCTGACTCAAAGAATTGTCTAAGTTCTTTAAAAAAAACAGCATCCGAAGTTTATTATTTTATTTGTTGTCCCGCACCATCTATCTCCCCACACATGTGGGAGACTTGTCTGACTACACCATCTATCTCCCCACACATGTTGGAGACTTGTCTGACTACACCATCTATCTCCCCACACATGTTGGAGACTTGTCTGACTACACCATCTATCTCCCCACACATGTTGGAGACTTGTCTGACTACACCATCTATCTCCCCACACATGTTGGAGACTTGTCTGACTACACCATCTATCTCCCCACACATGTTGGAGACTTGTCTGACTACACCATCTATCTCCCCACACATGTTGGGAGACTTGTCTGACTACACCATCTATCTCCCCACACATGTTGGAGACTTGTCTGACTACACCATCTATCTCCCCACACATGTTGGAGACTTGTCTGACTACACCATCTATCTCCCCACACATGTTGATGACTTGTCTGACTACACCATCTATCTCCCCACACATGTTGGAGACTTGTCGGACTACGCCATCTATCTCCCCACACATGTTGGAGACTTGTCTGACTACACCATATATCTCCCCACACATGTTGGAGACTTGTCTGACTACACCATCTATCTCCCCACACATGTTGGAGACTTGTCTGACTACACCATATATCTCCCCACACATGTTGGAGACTTGTCTGACTACACCATCTATCTCCACACACTTATTGGAGACATGTCTGACTACACCATCTATCTCCCCACACATGTTGGAGACTTGTCTGAAAACACGACAACACCATCTATCTCCCCACACATGTTGGAGACTTGTCTGAAAACACGACAACACCATCTATCTCCCCACACATTTTAGAGACTTGTCTGAAAACACGACAACACCATCTATCTCCCCACACATGTTAGAGACTTGTCTGAAAACACGACAACACCATCTATCTCCCCACACATGTTGGAGACTTGTCTGAAAACACGACAACACCATCTATCTCCCCACACATGTTGGAAGCTTGTCTGAAAAAACGACAACACCATCTATCTCCCCACACATGTTGGAGACTTGGCTGAAAACACGACAACACCATCTATCTCCCCACACATGTTGGAGACTTGTCTGACTACACCATCTATCTCCCCACACTTATTGGAGACTTGTCTGTCTGACTACACCATCTATCTCCCCACACTTATTGGAGACTTGTCTGACTACACCATCTATCTCCCCACACTTGTTGGAGACTTGTCTGACTACACCATCTATCTCCCCTCACATATATTTCTATGTCGATTCGATGATATTAATAGGATCAAATTTACGCAAGAATTTTGTAACGACTTGATTGAATCCATGTCTATATTCTTTGTGCTCCCCTAAGGTGGCTGCTCACGTCCTGTGGTTAGGGGAGGATATCGAGAAGGCTATCAATAAGCCGAGGTTACACCACCAGTTGCTTCCCCCTAACATTGAATATGAGCCTGGCACTGATAAGGTCATTGATTTGTATAAACTTATCGGCAGTTTTTTATGTCGTTTTTTTTCGCTTTAAAAAAAAAATAAAACAAACATTATATTATATGAGTAAATAAGTCTCAGATTCTTATATTTGTGATTATTAAAACAAAAATAATAATTTTATGAGCACCTCACTGTAGCACACGATTGTAAACATTGGTCTTCGCCTTACACAGAGCATTTTATGGAACTTAGAGGAGATGGGCCACGACTGCACTGAAGTACCTGCGGGAAAGTCTATTGTTCAAGGTATTCATATCAAAGATGGACGCATCTATCCAGTCTGTGACTATAGAAAAGGAGGTCAGCCATACGGTTATTAACATGAAGCTATCTTGACTCCTAAGGGGAATCCCCGAGATCACGCCACTCTCGCTCAACTGACGTAGACAGAAGTTCACATATGCAGTGGATAAGACCACACTGAGATCCTGAGTCAATGCTGCCAGACTTTCATACGACATTGTGTTTTTTTTTTGGGGGGGGGTAGCGGTTGTGCTACCTTCTCATTCCTTCAACTTCAATGACTATCAAATAGATTTGACGACCTATCTACAATCTTGGCTGTTACAATACTATAAGTAACAATCTTGGCTGTTGCAATGCTGTAAGTAACAACCTTGGCTGTTACAATGCTATAATTAACAATCTTGGCTAGCAAAGACAACCAACCAGTGACCAGCAACAACAACCAATTAGCAACAAGCAAAACCAACGCATGTAGCGAAGCTCGGCTCCATGTTGAAGTTTGTTATCTTTTAGGGCTAGATCAGTGGCACTCAATCTATAGGTCACAACCCGTAGAATGTCATAGGTCGCTTGAGAATTATGTAATGATATTTGAAAGCTGTATATGCATTTTTGTCGTTTTCAATTTTCATTTTAAACTGTAAATACTAATTAACGTGATTCGAATAGTTACTTATCGTTAAAACACTCTGACTACACTACAGCTACAATTATTACCGTATCGTTACAACACACTGACTACACTACCGCTACAATTATTACCTTATCGTTACAACACACTGACTACACTACAGCTACAATTATTACCTTATTGTTACAATACACTGACTACACTACAGCTACAATTATTACCTTATTGCTCCAACACACTGACTACACTACAGCTACAATTATTACCTTATTGTTACAACACACTGACTACACTACAGCTACAATTATTACCTTATTGTTACAACACACTGACTACACTACAGCTACAATTATTACCTTATCGTTACAACACACTGACTACACTACAGCTACAATTATTACCTTATTGTTACAATACACTGACTACACTACAGCTACAATTATTACCTTATTGCTCCAACACACTGACTACACTACAGCTACAATTATTACCTTATTGTTACAACACACTGACTACACTACAGCTACAATTATTACCTTATCGTTACACCACACTGACTACACTACAGCTACAATTATTACCTTATTGTTACACCACACTGACTACACTACAGCTACAATTATTACCTTATTGTTACACCACACTGACTACACTACAGCTACAATTATTACCTTATCGTTACACCACACTGACTACACTACAGCTACAATTATTACCTTATCGTTACAACACACTGACTACACTACAGCTACAATTATTACCTTATCGTTACAACACACTGACTACACTACAGCTACAATTATTACCTTATTGTTACAACACACTGACTACACTACAGCTACAATTATTACCTTATTGTTACAACACACTGACTACACTACAGCTACAATTATTACCTTATTGTTACAACACACTGACTACACTACAGCTACAATTATTACCTTATTGTTACAACACACTGACTACACTACAGCTACAATTATTACCTTATTGTTACAACACACTGACTACACTACAGCTACAATTATTACCTTATTGTTACAACACACTGACTACACTACAGCTACAATTATTACCTTATTGTTACAACACACTGACTACACTACAGCTACAATTATTACCTTATTGTTACAACACACTGACTACACTACAGCTACAATTATTACCTTATTGTTACAACACACTGACTACACTACAGCTACAATTATTACCTTATTGTTACAACACACTGACTACACTACAGCTACAATTATTACCTTATTGTTACAACACACTGACTACACTACAGCTACAATTATTACCTTATTGTTACAACACACTGACTACACTACAGCTACAATTATTACCTTATTGTTACAACACACTGACTACACTACAGCTACAATTATTACCTTATTGTTACAACACACTGACTACACTACAGCTACAATTATTACCTTATTGTTACAACACACTGACTACACTACAGCTACAATTATTACCTTATTGTTACAACACACTGACTACACTACAGCTACAATTATTACCTTATTGTTACAACACACTGACTACACTACAGCTACAATTATTACCTTATTGTTACAACACACTGACTACACTACAGCTACAATTATTACCTTATTGTTACAACACACTGACTACACTACAGCTACAATTATTACCTTATTGTTACAACACACTGACTACACTACAGCTACAATTATTACCTTATCGTTACAACACACTGACTACACTACAGCTACAATATTACCTTATGTTACAACACACTGACTACACTACAGCTACAATTATTACCTTATCGCTACAACACACTGACTACACTACAGCTACAATATTACCTTATCGCTACAACACACTGACTACACTACAGCTACAATATTACCGTATCGTTACACCACACTGACTACACTACAGCTACAATTATTACCTTATCGTTACACCACACTGACTACACTACAGCTACAATTATTACCTTATCGATACACCACACTGACTACACTACAGCTACAATTATTAACTTATTGTTACAACACACTGACTACACTACAGCTACAATTATTACCTTATCGTTACAACACACTGACTACACTACAGCTACAATTATTACCTTATCGTTACACCACACTGACTACACTACAGCTACAATTATTACCTTATTGTTACACCACACTGACTACACTACAGCTACAATTATTACCTTATTGTTACAACACACTGACTACACTACAGCTACAATTATTACCTTATCGTTACACCACACTGACTACACTACAGCTACAATTATTACCTTATTGTTACACCACACTGACTACACTACAGCTACAATTATTACCTTATCGTTACAACACACTGACTACACTACAGCTACAATTATTACCTTATCGTTACAACACACTGACTACACTACAGCTACAATTATTACCTTATTGTTACAACACACTGACTACACTACAGCTACAATTATTACCTTATTGTTACAACACACTGACTACACTACAGCTACAATTATTACCTTATTGTTACAACACACTGACTACACTACAGCTACAATTATTACCTTATTGTTACAACACACTGACTACACTACAGCTACAATTATTACCTTATTGTTACAACACACTGACTACACTACAGCTACAATTATTACCTTATTGTTACAACACACTGACTACACTACAGCTACAATTATTACCTTATTGTTACAACACACTGACTACACTACAGCTACAATTATTACCTTATTGTTACAACACACTGACTACACTACAGCTACAATTATTACCTTATTGTTACAACACACTGACTACACTACAGCTACAATTATTACCTTATTGTTACAACACACTGACTACACTACAGCTACAATTATTACCTTATTGTTACAACACACTGACTACACTACAGCTACAATTATTACCTTATTGTTACAACACACTGACTACACTACAGCTACAATTATTACCTTATTGTTACAACACACTGACTACACTACAGCTACAATTATTACCTTATTGTTACAACACACTGACTACACTACAGCTACAATTATTACCTTATTGTTACAACACACTGACTACACTACAGCTACAATTATTACCTTATTGTTACAACACACTGACTACACTACAGCTACAATTATTACCTTATTGTTACAACACACTGACTACACTACAGCTACAATTATTACCTTATTGTTACAACACACTGACTACACTACAGCTACAATTATTACCTTATTGTTACAACACACTGACTACACTACAGCTACAATTATTACCGTATCGTTACAACACACTGACTACACTACAGCTACAATTATTACCTTATTGTTACAACACACTGACTACACTACAGCTACAATTATTACCTTATCGTTACAACACACTGACTACACTACAGCTACAATATTACCTTATGTTACAACACACTGACTACACTACAGCTACAATTATTACCTTATCGCTACAACACACTGACTACACTACAGCAGCATAAACAGTTTAAACAAATGATGATTTATTTCGATAAATATCTGCCGATAATTTAATTTTATTTTGTTTGCATTTGTTTACTGTTTAAAGATAACATGATACATTATCGTTTTTAGTTTCATTATTAGTATTGTTTTGTGTGGTTTATTTGTCGTCGCATCAACTTCAAATGTGGCAACTTCCACACAAATAAAAAAAAATAAACAAATTAACAAAAAAAAATACTATGTATACGAATTTATCAAACATTTTCTGGGGGTAGCCCACTGTATGCAACCCTAGGGGATGTCTTACAAAGCCAACGTTATACAACCCTTTGGGGTAGTCTTACAAAGCCAACTTTATACAACCCTTTGGGGTTGTCTTACAAAGCCAACTTTATACAACCCTTTGGGGTTGTCTTACAAAGCCAACTTTATACAACCGTTTGGGGTTGTCTTACAGAGCCCACTCTATACAACCATTTGGGGTTGTCTTACAGAGCCCACTCTATACAACCCTTTGGGGTTGTCTTACAGAGCCCACTCTATACAACCATTTGGGGTTGTCTTACAGATCCCACTCTATACAACCCTTTGGGGTTGTCTTACAGACCCCACTCTATACAACCCTTGGCTTTGTCTTACAGATCCCACTCTATACAACCCTTTGGGGTTGTCTTACAGAGCCCACTCTATACAACCCTTGGGGTTGTCTTACAGAGCCCACTCTATACAACTTTTGGGGTTGTCTTACAGATCCCACTTTATACAACTTTTGGGGTTGTCTTACAGATCCCACTCTATACAACCTTTGGGCTCGTCTTACAGAGCCAAGTCCAGACAACCCCTCACCCTTCTGTTTAACCCGCCCACCAACACAATTGTATCAACAAAACTGTTCCGCCCCTCCCCCTTCTCATCACCTGTATTTAAAGTCAAGGTACATTTCAATGTGCCTCGCCAGATTTGAA